TTTTGCTTGTGGAGTTGGGGATATACTTCTCAGCGGTGCTATAGATGGCACTCAGATTTTGCATAGTCAGGGAAAACATCCTGGAATTCCCACTAATAACCATCATGCTTAAAGCAAGGCATGGGCAGAAGGATTGCTACAATAGTGTTTTTCACCATTGCAATACCAGTACTGTCTTTCGCTTTAATGACTAAAAATACAAATACTTATTAAGAAGTTACTTAGCTTAAATGATTTAGGACCCATGAATTATTTTTCCAAATCCTGAGGACAGTGACAAAATACAGCAAAACACAGCTCTTTGACATGTCGCAATTGCTAAAGATTGCAGTTTAAAAATTTGTGATCAAGATTGATAGAGGTCTGTCTCAGTGCTACATGGCAAAATGTACCTCTAGAATAGTTGTAATCCAATGACTCTGCGTTGAGAGGTACAATGCTTCCTTCAAGCACCACTTTTAAGTAAGATAGCACTGTTTGAGAGGTGGAGGTGAATTACCTTTTCAAGATCTTTCGGTATCCTACTTTATATTCTGAACTATACATTTTACTTGTTCAGAGGTTCGAGCAAACCTTAAACATATTTCTCATTCAAATGACATTTTTCTCCTCCATAATCAAGATATTTCCACTCTAAAGCAATCCTTGAAATACTTCACTTTACATGACATCTTTCTCTGCTGCTTAATAAACTTTCTGGAAAGCTTATTTGATCTGTAGTAAAATAACTTCTTACCCACAAGTCTGAATTCAAGTTAAAAGTGGTATAAGTGGTAGTACTACTACTCTGCACTTACAAAGAGGTTAGGTAACTTGTCCAGGGTCACGAATTCAGTGGCAGTCTGTTCAGGCATTACATGTGCAGGTGGTAAAGTGCCCTTCTGATCCCTGAACACCTGAAAGATGATCAAAACACCTTTTTTTTTTTTTTTTTTTAACTGTCACTCCTGCTAAAAGGAAAAAGAATGCAAAATTTGCTTAGATGGTCACTTTTAGATATGCGACTAAGTGATATCATGATAGCAGGCTGGAGAAAATAGGCTGAAGGTCTGTGTGGAAGGGAGAGAAAGACAGCAAGGAATAGTCCTCCGCAGCGCATGCTCAGCCATCACTTACACCCCCCCACCTCTCAGTATACGAGCCTGCCACTAGAACATGAGAACTTCTAATCAGCAGGGTGATTCCCATTGGTGAGAGAGACAATGTGCCATAGGCTGGCAGGCTGTGCTACCTTCTCTGTATTCTATTTCATAGCAAGGCACTGTCAACAGGCTGTTCACACTAAGCAATCTGTTGAGATTATGCAGATTGTTTCGGAGATGTCATTGAATTCGAGAGGGTTCCTCCTCTCATTAAGTGGCTATGAGATCAGTCCCAGCTGTTTTTCCGTCTACCTCCTCGGAAGACCATGTATTAGACAGACATTTCCAATAACTTGCACTCCAAATGACTCTTTCAAATACCATGTTTTTCCAAATTACCACTCTTCAAGCCTGAAGAAAAATAAGTATAAAATAAGTATACGGAGAGGATCAATGATACCTCTCTGTTGAATTAGGTAAACCCTAAATTAGAGTTTGTCTAGAAAGAAGAGTGGAAGACGACAACTGCTTTTTGGCTTGAGATGGTAGAACAGGTGTAAACGATGGCTGGGCAGAGATGTCACTATCTTGCTTTTGTGTTATCAGACTTCCCTTCTATATCCCAGAAGAATCCTGTTTGCTTTGCACTGCTACAGACTGAACAGATTACCTGTCCTAAGCAGGAGCCTTTATTAGCATTCTCACCAGAATCTGTCACTGTAAATTCTCAGGGAATTGGCCCTCATTGCAGATAAGAATCTAATTAAGTAATACCAGTTTCTGAAGCCGTAACTCTTGGCATCAGAAGAGCTTGTATGAACTGCCAGCTTCATGAGAAGTTCTCTCATTTGAAGGACTTCTTTCCTATGCATAAATCATGCTCACCAAACTGAAAATTAAGGACATGCTCAACAGTGAAAATAATAATCAAAAGAATGAAGGGGAGAAGAAAGAACATCCGAAAATTAGAGTTCATTATTATCATTTTAAAGTACCAGTATTTGTAAAACATAAGCATGTGAAAGGCTGAATCTCATATGATCAACCCAATTAAACATTAAATAATTGCAGCCAATTATGCAAATATCACATACCAATATTAATTTGTTGATCCTTTTTGAACAGTCTCAAATTCTCCTAATGTTAGACTATCTTATGTCTTAAATGATCAATTAGCAGAACCATAACTCAGTGATGAAGAATGGATAATTGCCTAGTTATGATGCACCAAACTCTTTCTATGTAAATCTGTTGCAATTAAACAAATAGGGCACATGGAGAAAAGATGTGCAGATGTTCTTTTACAATCTATTATCATCGCAGGGAATACCACAGTTCCCTCCTAAATTTTACAGGCGAAAATAGGGAGAATGTAATACCAAATACTCACTATTATTTACACATATTATTTCTTTCCTTTGGTTAACAGGATAAAAAAACAGTGGCAGAATGCAGGGTGGGACAGCATGCAACTTCAGAAGAATTTTCTGTATTATACAGACCCATCAGCTCCCTTATTTAGGTTTTAAAGTTTAAAATCTAGAACCTATTCACCTGGATCCCGTTTGGAAAAAAGCACAACTTTGAGTTGACATAGCCAGAGTAAAGCAATTAACCAAGATCTTAAAGACAACAGTTAACATACACACACTATATGTTTTCATTCTTCTTTGTTACAAAAATCGATGGATTTCTGTAGGTCATTCCAGTTTTAACTCATCATTTTGAAGTCTCCATCAGCTCAAAATGTGCAGTAAAAGGAAATGTGTCTCTCTGGTCAGTTCGAGAAACAGTGCAAACCACAATAAATGAAAACGCCTGGTTTCCTTACATTAAATTACTTGCATCCAATTTAAAAAGAGTTTTACACAACTTTTAGGTTTACACTGCAGCAGAATAATTCCTCTAACTGGTCCTTCCTCATTTTGACCAGAATAGATTATTACTGGTATACTGATGCCTTCATGGGGATTTTTGATATATGATACCTGTCAACTCTATCAACATCCTGAGATGTTAAGGTATCATACAACCCCTTTGCCATGCATCTGAAGTTAGATATTTCCACTTTTCCTTTTCCTGCTACATCTAAGGTGAACATAAGGGGAGAGGTTAGTTCAGTCACAGGAAGCCACACGTTGTTGCTCATTCCATAATCTTTAGAGAGCTCCATGACATGCTCTAGTTAAAGGCACTCTTTAGTTATGATACTTGTCTCATTGGATAAAACTCTCTACCCCATGTTGCTTCTTGACATATCCCCCATGTTAATTTTTCCACCCATCTAATTAAACAGAAAAAGAAAGACTACCAGCAGTTTATAATACGTAGTAAGATACTAAAGGAAGATCAGCACATGATACAGATTCAAATGGTCAGAAAAGCAGACACACAATACTATTGCTACTGTAAGTGAAACAACATTTTGTGCTTGCAATTGTATTCTAAAGAGAAAACTATCCAACAAATTTTAACAACGGTTACATTGTCAGACAGAACTTTCAACTGTTCTTCATTAAAATATCAGATTGGACTGCAGTGAAAGATAGTAGAAGTCATGATTTGAGGGAGTAAAATAAAGTTATGGCTAACTAGGGGTTGTCTTTAATATCTGTCCAAAAATGAACAGGAAAGCCATAAGGCTTCTTTTTAGCAGTTGTATAAGGCATGGAAGGTCTATTTGAAATTGTATTTTGCCTTTTTAAGCAATGATAACAAATGGCAGTAACAACAAAGAACATCTAAAGCATGGGAGAGATGCTGTTGGGTCTTAAAAAAAGTAAAGTGCTAAATATTTTCCTTAATACTGGTGCATCTCTACTGCAAACTATGGCGATAAATGTTTTACTTCTTGTAGGACTCCAATGGTGTCAACAAAGTCCCACCAGTTTTACACTGAAGTAGCACTTAGGAACATTGATACAGAATATAGTGATCCTTTTTGGCAAGAGATATCTTAAAGCTGTTCACAATGCTGTGTGCAAAAAAAAAAAGAGAAAACTAATAAATGTTACAGGATAATTGTTAGTGAACATTTGCAGAAGTTATTTCCCTAACTATGGGCTACACGCTCTATGTTGCTCCCAACTAGGATCAAGACTGCACATGAGAGAGTACCGGTATATGAAGAAGTATATGCTTAATCAGAACAAACCCAGAGTTTGAATGAAATCTCCTTCCTTCTCGTGCTAGGTATTTTCTGTTGACAACATAGCTTGTTCCTTCATAGGAAGGCCCTATTAAGGTACACATGTGTCAATGGAGGTTGGATACATTTCACAGTGAGAGGTGAAGGGGACAAGAAAAACATTTTTCTGGTCTAAATTATGTGACTGGGTGTTGAAAGAAATTCCTCAAAAGAAAGGTGTGGTTGCTCTGAATTGCAGCTCAACTTTCACAGTCACAGTTGTCTGATCTTGTTTGCTAGACATTCACTCGGAAGGCAACACCGTGTCCGCGGCACTCAGCTCTGTGCTAGGCCAGACAAAGGGTAATTCTTGTTTCAGCAGGGCCTGGCCCAGCCCTGTAAATCACGTATGGAAGGATGTATTCAACTATTAGAGCGGTACACGCTGCCCAAGCAGCCGCTGCATAACCCCATGGAGGGAAAGGCAACAGGCCGACAGGGATCATATTGCAGGCTAGATCGACTCAGGAGAATATTGGCCTAAAGGATAGAGCTGTTCTTTGACAGAATATGCATGAGGGGATCTAGATGGCTATGAAAACTAAGGAATCTCCCAAACAGAGCATGAAAGGAAAGAACGTATGGCTAAACTTAATGGTTTCCTGAACACAGAGCAAAAAGTAGAATAATGTCAGTAGAACTCTGTGGTCAATTAACAGGCCACGGCTTTGTGTTATATGACAACGTGCTCCGCTGATGATGGCAGTTAAAACAAACCAAATAAACTGAAGAGCAGTTGAAGAGCATTTTACAGGTTTTCAGACTGTAAATAAGACAGAAGGAGGTACTAAGAAAACTATTAGGAAAGTTCTATTGCTAACATTTAGCACCTCTAGCAAGAAGATAGGCTCCTACTAACAGGATTACAGTAGAAATGAAAATGATTGTGTTCACATTTGCCAGATTGTGGAAACAATCAGACCGGGGAGCAAACTGGTACAGAAACTACGCTACGCACAGGCAGCTACAGAAGTTGTCATTATTCATGTCTGTTCTGTGTGGAGGGTCTGAACTCTTCCATCTTCACGACACCAGCACTGCCCAATCGCTGTCTTCTCTTCCATACTGAAACAAATTAAAAATGAATTTTGACAATAAAAGTTAAAAGTAACAGTGTACAATTATGATAACTTCTTAGGTTTATCATCAGAAAGGTTCATATCCACCACCCTGATAGTAGTTTACACTATTTCCTATGCCTTTACTTCTGTCTTTGATTTGAGCAAAGCCTGAAGGTAGCTTGAGGTTTTATCCATCTTCCAATAAGTAGACTAAGAAAGGATGAAGTATCTCACTAGAGATCATACAGAACAGTCCTGTTTCACTGGAGCTTTCCATCAATTTAATATAGTTATTCCCTGAGGTCATTTCCCTCATTAATTCATAAGTATGCTCCTGCTCAAGCTCCAATAAACAAACACTTTTTTTTTTATTTCTTTTTATTTTCAAGGTGGCTTTTTATTACAACATTCTGACTGAATGTGAAATAAAACCCATCACAAATACCACAGAATACAATTAGAGAGAACTGTAACCCAAGTAGTCTTTCCATATGCAAACCAAGAGGATCTTCTGGGATAAAGGGAGGCAGCCTACCCATGAGGAGTTGTTTCCCATCTAGGGGAGGATACAGTCCCAAGACAGCACTTTTGGTTGTTAAACTGGCTCCATATCCTAAAACTCTTTGTCACCAGCTCTGTAAACAATGCTTCAGAGAGGCCCAGAAAAAACACATAGGGCTCAAGAACGTAAGCAAAGTAGAGGTGGATAGACTAGTGGCAGAGGTAAGCTGGAAGCCCTTTCCCTCATAGTACCCTGTTCAGGGAGCTTGAAAACACTTTTCACCAAGGAACAGACTGATTTTAGAGGCTTAAATAGGCTGAAAAGATCACTAGATTATCATTTCTCCAAAGAGGATAAAAGGAAGTTCCTCCAATCCAGGTCCTGCATCAGCAGGAAAGGAGATAAAGGGACATTAAAGCAGGGAAAAGGCAACAGCTCCAAATCAGGCTGAGCCGGAAAAAACACACTTCTGGATCCACAAAAGAATGGCATTCAGTCTGCTTGTATTTTATTTTTTACTCCATCTGGTAAAGCCTCTAAATGACCTCTACGTGTATCACATCTACTTTTTCTTTTCATTACTAATTCTGCTGCTCCTGCTCTGCAGTCTGCAATGTGTTTGACTATACACAGGACCTTGGACAAATTACTCGTTCAAAGGATTTCCAGCTTACATTACCAGTTGTCAGTTTGGTTGCCTTGGGAACTCTAACCAAGGAAAAGCAGATGTATCACTAGTTTAACCACAAAGCACTGGATTACCCTAATGTGAAGCAATTTTATTGAGGTTGGGGGCAAAGGGAGGAAAAGGAGATGTCTTGGACCTTCACGTCACTGCTTCTCAGAGAAAAGGTGGCACCTCACCTCCCCCCAGTTGGACAGCAGGCAAAGGCCAGGGGATTGTTTGTAAGTTTTTCTGGCTTTAGGTGGTAGTATCGTCTAATGCTCTGATGCTGATTTCAGAAATTTCAAGGGCTGGTCCAAGTTGCCATTTGACTATGGTTTGAACATGCTTCCAGAATTAAAAAGGGAATGAAGATGTTATACCACCATCAAGATATTGTCTTTCTGGAAATAAAAGCAGATTATCATCCTTTTCTGATTCTGTCAAAGATTTTGTGATCTCCAGCTAGTCAATCCCACCCCTCTCTTTCCTCCCACAGGTGCTGCTTTGTAAAAATTAACACATCCATTCTCCTTCCCTGGTTGTTTTCCACTGGGCTACCCATTTAGATTATGCAACTTTGAGAAAGACAGGTTTTTTGACTCAATGTCTGTTTATTGTTGCCCTGACTGCAGCATTCAAACATATTTTATATCATGTAGTATAAAAAATATATATTACCTTCTATCCATCCCTTCTAAGATGCATCCTGATCTACACTTTAAAAGGTATAGCAAAAGCTTGCTTATTCTCAAAGCATGGAATGCAAAACCACAAGAACATCTAAGTGGTATTTCAGTGAGTATATTCCCAGAGAAAAGAATCTCATCTCTAAATCTTCTAAATCAAGCAGTTATAGAAGCCAGTGTACTATGACTAATTCATTAATAAGCACACTATTACTGTATAAAATGTAAATGATTTAATCTAAAATCTTTATCAGCCTTTAGTGATCACAATTTCCACTCAGCAATAGGAAGGGAAATGTATATTGCAGGGCTACTACTGTCTCTCTCCATTGGCATGAGAAATGGAATTGGTTCTGCCCATGAGTTTCTAATTTGTCACTCTAGCTCTCGTTCCACTGAACAGCTGTTCAAAACCAAAGAAATCCTGTTGAACACAGAAAAATTGCAAAAGAACAATGAGCAGCATGAAAACACACTTGGAAACACAATAATGATGATAATCTGAAATTTCTAAACAAGCATGTATCATACACAAGGGACTCGGTATAACAATATTGGATATGGTGCCCTGCACCTTTTGGTCACAGGTTCAAATGCAGGACAATGTTGGTGCTAAGAATTTTTACTTTCTTACAAATGTCCACTGTCCAAGATGAAGTGGATATGTTGCCCTATTTCAGGCAACAGCACAACACAGAGACCAAAGGTGTGTTCTGCTGTAATTTCCATTGCATTTTATACTTCAGGACTTAAACATTCTTTGAATTAACAGCCTCAGACCATTCAAACGATATGACAATAGTCCAATGATACTTCAAAAAGATATTTTTTTCTTTCTTTCCCTCCTAGTAGAATATGTAAAAGATTGCTGGATAAAGAACTGTCTGAATGGCTGAGCACAGAGACTGGTGGTGAATGGAGTTAAATCCAGCTGGCGGCCGGTCCCAAGTGGTGTCCCCCAGGGCTCAGTTTTGGGTCCAGGCTTGTTTTAACATCTTTCTCAATGGTCTGGATGAGAGGATTGAGTGCTCCCTCAGTACGTTTGCAGATGACACCAAGCTGGGTGGGAGTGTCAATCTGCTCAAGGGTAGGAAGGTTCTGCAGAGGGATCTGGACAGACTGGATCGATGGGCTGAGGTCAACTGTATGAGTTTCAGTAAGGCCAAATGCTGGGTCCTGCGCTTTGGTCACAACCACCACATAATGCTAGAGGCTTGGGGAAGAGTGGCTGGAAAGCTGCCCGGCAGAAAAGGATCTTGGGGTGTTGGTTGACAGCTGGCTGAACATAAGCCAGCAGCGTGCCCAGGTGGCCAAGAAGGCCAAGAGCATCCTGGCTTGTGTCAGGAGTAGTGTGGCCAGCAGGACTAGGGAGGTGATCGTGGCCCTGTACTTGCACTGGAGAAGAGGAGGCTGAGGGGGAGACCTAATTGCTGTCTACAACTACCTGAAAGGAGGTTGTAGTGAGGCAGGTGTTGGTCCCTTCTCCCAGGTAACTAGCAATAGGACAAGAGGCAATGGCCTCAAGTTGCATCAGGGGAGGTTTAGATTAGATATTAGGAAAAATTTCTTTACTGAAAGAGTGGTCAGACATTGGAACAGGCTGCTCAGGGAGGTGGTTGAGTCACCATCCCTGGAGGTGTTTAAAAAACGTGTAGATGTGGCACTTGGGGACATGGTTTAGTAGGCATGGTGTTGTTGGGTGGATGGTTGGGCTTGATGATCTTAGAGGTCTTTTCCAATCTATGATTCTATGATTTGTGAAAGATCCTGAAAACTCTCCTGACATTTTAAGAATGTTATATATTCAATTTTCTGTGTTGCAGCATTGTTTCCATATGACAACCTGGGGTCCATTTGGATATGAGCTCATCTCTCAACAGATAGCAAAGTGCAGAAACACAATCAGAAACTATTGAATGACTCTCAAAGCGGAAGCAGCAATCGTTCTGTTTAAAACCATGTTCCTACCAATGAAGTGTTCTAACTCTCCTGGCTTTTTTAAAGAAGGGAGAAACCACAGAAGTAAGCATATACATAATAGTCCAGCACTTTCCATGAGTGATGGATTTACTCTTGGCATGTAACTAATGAACACATAGTACATACATGGCTGTAAAGCTAAAAGGTCTACAAGCATAGCTGTAAAGTGAAAAGGTCCAAGAAAGATAATGGTTAGAAGTAATCCACACTTTTTCAGCCTCCTCCTGAGCTTTGGTTGAGGGGGGGCGAGGGGAAGGAGGGTGATGGGGCAGGGCAAGGGAGGAAGCCTCAGGGAGCACTATCTATGGGCCAAGGGAGAAAGACACATATTCCAGTGCTGCCTTCTGAAACAGAATTCTGTATTTCACAAGCCATTCTTCTAAACAAGACGCTCGCTTGTCTCGCACCACAAACTGCTAAGCAGTACTGTTTTGATTTGGCCTGGATAAATGCCAGGTGCCCATCAAAACCACTCTATCACTCCGCCTCCTCAGCTGGACAGGGGAGAGGAAATATGATGAAAGGCTCGAGGGTCAAGATAAGGACAAGGAGAGATCACTCACCAATTACTGTCACAGACAGAACGGACTGAACTTGGGGAGAAAAGGGAGTTTAATTTCTCACCAATCAAATCAGAGGAGGATAGTGAGAAATAAATCCAGATCTTAAAACACCTTTCCCCCACCCCTCTCTTCTTCCTGGACTCAACTTCAATCCTGTTTCTCTACCTCCTCACCCCAAGCGGTGCAGGGGGACGGGGAATGGTGGTTATGGTCAGTTCATTAAACGTTGTTTCTGCCGCTTCTTCCTCCTCAGGGGGAGGACTCTTCACACTCTGCCCCTGCTCCGGCACGAGGTCCCTCTCAAAGGAGACAGTTCTCCAAACTCCTCCAACATGAGTCCTTCCCACAGGCTGCAGCTCTTCACAAACTGCCCCTGCATGGGTCCTTCCCAGGGGGTGCAGTCCTTCAGGAACAGGCTGCTCCAGCATGGGTCCTTACAGGGTCACAAGCCCTGCCGGCAAACCTGCTCTGGCATGGGCTCCTCTCTCCACAGGTCCACCGGTCCTGCCAGGGACCTGCCTCCCCACGGTCTTTCATCACGAGCTACAAGAGAAGACTCTCTGCTCCCACATCTTAAGTGCCTCCTCCCCCTCCTTCTTCATTGATCTTGGTGTCTGCAGTTGTTTCTCTCACTTCGTCTCACTCCTCTCTCTTGGCTGCCGTTTCACCACAGTTTTTTTTCTTCCCCTTCTTAAATGTTATCACAGAGGCGCTACCACCATTGCTGATTGGCTTGTCCTTGGCCAGCGGCGGGTCGGTCTTAAAGCTGGCTGGCACTGGCTCTGTCAGACATGGGGGAAGCTTCTCGCAGCTTCTCACAGAAGCCGACCCTATAGCCCCCTCGCTATCAAAACCTTGCCATGCAAAGCCATAACAAGTACCTATCCCCACACACAATGCTCAGCAAGGATCTAGAACTGGCTTCAACTCTTTCTGATGCTGAGCTGTTCCATGACTGCAATTAGAAGTGATCAGTGGAGACTCGAACTGACCACAAATTGTTGAAGGCCATAACATATATTGCATCACCTAGACATCAGAAGGTAACACAGGAGTTACACAATTGCTTTTAGACATAAAACATAGACACCTGGCATACTAACAAGATGGCTTTAATACAGAGTAGAGAGCTATGGAAACACTGATTACTGTGCATCACAATGAAAAGCGTATCAATAAAATCAGCTTATAGTCTGTCCCTGAAACAAATCTAGACATACGACAATAAGAAAAATAAAGTGATGGACATCAATAGTTATTTTAGATAGGTGTATCAGGCAGTTGGGATGAGAAAGATGAAATAAAACTGTGGTAGTAGTGGGATTCTGGAGAAAGGCTACTGTGTATTCTCATATAGTAAGATGACAAAAATGTTATAGGCAACTGACATGCGAACACGAAATACTAAGCCTCTCCTTCCCTTCAACAAATAATAAAATCCAGAACCAAAGGTGCCTATGCTTCTTCCTAGCTATCAGTTGTACTGTTTGAAGAGGAAGACCCAGATTCCAAGCCATTACAGCTGGCACAGCTGAAACAATGGAAACATGATGGGTGAGTGTCTCTCTTTGCCGCCATGAAAGTTTGCTCAGCCACCAACATAAAGGTACCAGAACATAATGAATTCTTTCTTCCCTGAGTTGCAGCCAGAAATGTCCAATACTATTCTAAAGAACAAGAGATGCTGATCCCATGTCATCCTCCTAGTGAAGAACAGTCAAGTGGTCTTGCTGCATATTTGAGCTACAAGTCTTAGAGAAGAGGAAAAAAAAAAAAAAGTAGTTATGCTGGAAATCAGCAGCTCTGAGAGGTGAAAATCTGCAGAACAAGAATACAGAAGAAACACTGAAATGATAAGAGATGGCCTAACTTCCCTTACCTTTGACTGCTTCGGCCTACTTGAATTAGGCAATGAAAAAAAGCAACGGATTTAAACTTGGACTGCGCTATAGCACAAAACACTGAATAAATAACATTACATAAATGAACCTGCTTATCATGGGATTTTAGGTGGGTCAACACATGACAGCAGACTGCAATTCATGAGTAGTTTTTGTTTGAGGTCTCAGCAGGAGAACCCTGCATCAGACTACTTTTACACACTAGAAAAGGGCCTGTGAAATAGAAAGAAAAAACAGTTTGAGGACTTTTTCTTTAAAAGTTCTGATTATTTTGTGGGATTCATAGAGTTGCTGTGTGGTGCAGTCTATCTCACAATCTTTCAAGAAGATTCCTTCAGGGCTTACTGGCAGGAAGATGAAAATTTTAGTAGCAAATTTAAGAACCTCTTGAGTCATAAGCTAAGAATGTAGAACAGTAACCATCAGACTTGACTTAAAAAGATGACAGCAATACTGCCAAGCAGCTGCTGTCAGATCTTAAATTAAGGGGCTTGTACCTTGCTGTAGCCTACTCTTATTCCAAATCCATAAACTATGTTAAATAAAGAAAACAGACAACTAAAATATGAAGGGCCATCACATTCTGTTCATTAACCTTAACTGAAATGATATTGACTCCTATGCACAGACATCGAGGTCAAGCACAGACTCCAAATAGACTTCGATATTTAGCAAATCACAGAGGATTTTTTAGAACAAGAAGTGACTGCGTGATTTGGGACAATGTGGGGCCGCTGCTGAATGAGGTGGGTATCCTGGTGATGGAGGACGCAGAGAAGGCAGAGCTACTGAATGCCTTCTTTGCTTCAGTCTTCAGTGCCAAGGCTGGCCCTCAGGAATCCCAGGCCCCGGAGGTAAGAGAGGAAGCCGACAGAGAGGATGACTTTCCCTTGGTCGAGGAGGACCACGTGAGGGATCGCTTAGGCAATCTGGACGCTCACCAATCCATGGGCCCCGATGGAATGCACCCACGAGTGCTGAGGGAGCTGGCAGATGTCATTGCTGAGCCACTCTCCATCC